TAATACAAGTGTGGAATGATTGTATTTATTTTGATAAGTCTGATAACACCATATCATTTGATGGAATGAGTGTATTTATTTTAACACAATATCATTTGATGGAATGAGTGTATTTATTTTGATTGGTCTGATAACACAATATCATTTGAAGAAGTTTTCATTACATATGAGTTGATAAAAGTTATGATTTTCCCATCTGAAGCTAAACTTTGATTTGCTTGGTTAGTCTGTAAAAAATAATGTAGAAGAAAGAAAATTTCTTCCTACAATTCGATGTATTGTTATTTCTATGTAACATGACCATTCACACAAATCTTGTATTAAGCATCAGCTTTCATTTAGTAGAAAATGATTTGATGGGTTTGAAGAAAGAGATTATAATAAAAGCTAAATTCAATATTAGGGTGCCATATACAAAATTATGAGATGCTAAAAGAAATAACCATTATATCCATCTTTGAAAGTTGGGATGTGTCATATAGATTATTACAAATATTAATAGAGAGATAATATTATATAATGAGAGAAACTATGTACATAATTCAAATTGACTAGTTGAATCATTCGAACCTTATATTATGGGCATTCGAACTATCATTATCTAGTTGATGTTATTGCAGTCAGAAGATACATTTCTTTCAGAAAAATATAGTGGCGTGTTGCTTACTAATGTTAAACTAGATGTAAATAATGCTTTGTTTTTGTTAGCTTTTATTATTGTTGAGTCAAATGTAGTGAATCTTGGATGTGATTCTAACAATTTATGCATGACATAATTCCGATTGAGCATTATAGGGCAAATTTATGAATAATTTGACATAATATTCTTACTTAATTTGAGCTTAAATAGATTTTTTTCCCGATGAAGATCATCGTCATTGTTTGAGATACTTGCATGAGAATTTTAAAAGAGAATAAAAAGTATGGGTTTCTTCGATGTTGAATCTATGTGCCATAAGATGTACTCAGTGGTAAACATTGAAGAGATTCGAGTATTCAAATGGTACAAGATAGATATTAAAAATGTGAAGCTAGAAGCGTATGCATGGCTGGTTGGCATGGATGTCTCCAAATAGACTATGTTTCATGATAGTGGATTCATATATTGAACTATGAAAACAAATGTATCATAATGCTTCAATGGGGGTCTAAGATGCACTGCAAGGCTTCCCACATCAAAGCATTAATTCTTTCAATATAATATAAGATAGTAGCTTTCTTTATGTGATTAAATAATTTTATAGAGCTTAATTCTCTAAATGAATTTCCGATTGTTCCACAGACTCAACAAATACTATGATTATTTGATTGTGAGGTGCATATATTATTTATTCTGACATCCATCAACATGCACAAATTTTAAGTAATTGATATTGCATGTTGCTTGTTTCGTGTGGATTTAAGTACCAATAATAATGTTTGCAATTGTTTTTAACACCAGATGTATCATATGTTTTGCTCATTTATTATTGTTGCAATGGTTCTATGATGGTTGAATCACTAATTTTATATATTTTTATTACTGCACTACAGAGAATTATAAAGCACATATTTCGATAAGTGTTTCATATTATCCCAAACAAACTAATAGGACTAACTATGAGAACTCATCTAGCATCATGGATTCTTTATTGTAAAGCTTTAAACTAATGGTCTTGGCGTTTTGAAAATACATCTGGTTTGTTTGGGTAAACTGTGTTTTGGCAGCTTATGGATTTTCAAAACGCTGAAAACATTGTTTTCACAGCGCACCTGTCTAGATGCGGTGGCAGTTTTCTGGCAGCGGTCTGACTTTTCCCAAAAAAAAAAATTTCTAATAACCACAATACCTAACTTATCAACAGATTATTCAATAAACTACAGCTGCCCCAAACAGACCCTAAGTGTTGGACAATCATGAGTGTTTTGCTATAGGAATACTATAGATGAGTCAACATTATACAGCAATAAAATTTGTGGCATTTAGGCAGCTTCGGGACATAACAGAACAATTTGTACTCACAATCCTCACAAATATTTAATGTAGGCATATATTTAGGTACAACATTGCTTTTTACACTAGTTTCCAAGAACAAAGAACTATTGAATGTCACATCAAGTTACAAACGATGCTATTGGATGTCACATCAAATTACAAACAATGCAACTGAAGAGAAAGATGTTGATATAGAATTTCAAAAATATTAGTTGTGGCACCAATCAGTTCGACCGTCATTTAATATACATTAGGATATGATTTCTATCCTGATATACAATATGATAATACTTTGTATTCATAATGTTAATGAACACATTTTTTAACTTCGAAGAAGTATTATTAATTTAATTTATTCTTAGTTATTTATATTTTTCACATATTTTCTGCTAACATGGTTTACCAAATGAGTTTAATCTAATAAATTTCACCTTTTTGTGAATTATAATACTATAATGAGATGTATAAGAACAGGATGATAATTCTAATGTGAAATATTAAGGTAAAAAATATATTGATTAATTAAGCATTATTTAAATGTCAATTAAATTAATTCATACTTAATTAAATTTTAATAAAAGCTAATTAAAAACAATATGCAATTTATTTATAAATTAATTAAACTAATTATGTATATTATAAATTAACTTATAATATACTTATATATTAATTATTATTTAATAAAAATAAATAATATAAACACCCCTAAACAGGGCAATTTGTGTAAAAATAAATTAAGTACTCCTTTATATAATTTGGCCATTGATAATGCTTCTGAGCAATGAGAATTCCAAAATAATACATTTCCTAAGAGGATGTGCGAAATAATATGTAGAAACCTACATAGAGAAATGCTCTCTTCTATAGTTCTTTGAGAACTTAAATCATGTCACATTACAAATGACAAGTGCACACACAGGTTAATCATCTAAATATGAACATGGTGCTCTTTTTTTATCCAAAATTTCAAAGGCTACTATTTGAATGTTGGAAGGTCAAGACTTTTCAGAGTCTCTTGCTTTTTTTTACTTTTGGAATGATGAGTGTAAACATACAATGAGCCAAGCAGATATCAAGCAAAAGACTTTGACAACTTCTAAAGCCTTCACCATGTAGGATTGTAAATGAGAAACATATTGACATGAATATCGAGAAAACCCAAAAAGCCTCCAAGTCTTATCATATACTCCAAAAGCATCCCAAAAAACTCTCTATTAAGGGGTCAGCTACATATCAGATTGCAGTAATTCACTATCTACGTGACAACCTAATCTCTCTCTCTCTCTCTCTCTCTCTCTCTCTCTCTCTCTCTCTCTCTCTCTCTCTCTCTCTCTCTCTCTCTCTCTCTCTCTCTCTCTCTCTCTCTCTCTCTCTCTCTCTCTCTCTCTCTCTCGCACGCGTGCACACGCACTCTTATGTTTTTTTCACTCTATTTCTTGAGTGTGACTCGCCTTGACACACACGCACACAATCTCTTCAAATTCAACAAGGATAGTTGGCTCGCGATTTCCCATGTGTACAACCCATCTCTTGTCCAACTTCTGGCGCTTCAACTTATAAGATGAATGGAGGCAAGAAATTTAATGCGTTTTCAGGTACATTATAGCCCAACATGAGCACTTAAAACAAATCATATTCATACATAAAGGTCCATAGATGAACACATTGGCCAAACAAACTCATTTATGTCGATGCAGAATGGAAATTAATACAATGCAATGCCACATGGTATTGAAATGCGTATTTTGATAGAAAGTCTGTAGTTTGAACAATCATAAAATGATCGTTTTGCCAAAAATGCACATTTTATGCAATTAAAACTTGGATTCACAATTTGCCCAAACACATGCATATATGTGTTCGCATTGACTTAGGACAACATTTTATAACAAGCATTATATAACCAAATCAAAAAAAGAAAAGAGTAGTGAAAGGGAAAATGACTGAATCCATCCATTAAAAACCATAAGATGAAACCAACTCCGAAGGGTGCGAGTATCACACTATGGTAAAAAAAACACAAGTGATGAACGTTGGTTGTGAATAAAAATCAGCGCAACAAAACTGGAGTATATTAAAACATAGCAAAGCTAGAATAGATCCAGATTGATTCATTAATAATCCAGAAATCATAACTACTAAGTTAAATTGATACTCCTTGACCATTGAAACTCAGGAGAAAACGTAAACAAGCGTTAAGACAACACACTCAGGAATCATAGCTAAGAGAAGCTTAAAAAGCATAAACTAACGCAGCCTCTGAAGATGAAGAGAACACAACCGATTACATCCAAGTTAAAATACCCTGCAGACATAACTATAGACCGTCTTCGGTGAAGTTCAAAATACCGCTTGCAAACTGCTACCATTTGCAAGTCAAAGGCCACAATCCTAGTAAAGCTCACTGCGAAGAATACATTACAAACCTTAGTAAATCAACCATAGAAAACAAAATATGAGATTGAAAGAAATAAATGAAATGTGAATAAACTAATCAAAATTAATAACAGAAAAAAAAAATTCTGCCAATAATATACAGAAGAATGCTCATGTATTTAGCTTGACAGCATACTAGTTATTTTTTGGAAAATTTCATAGGTTCAAAGCATTAAAGGTTATTTTGATTGGATGAAAATAAACAGATTAAATGAAAACCCATAATTTTCTAGATGATTATATATCTAAGTTATATAAAAGAATACATTACATACGAAGTTATATGAGTTTCAGCAAAATAGAGCAGTGTGTATTGTCAATAGATAGTACTACAACCAACAAAATCAGGAATTATACTTCATATCAATATGTATCATTCTAAGAAAATTAAAATCAGCTCTTACATTTTTGCTCTTATTGCAATGGAAAAGCATAATTTTACCTGCGGTTGCTGATAATTTGCATATCCTGGATAAGCTCCATATGAATACATGTTTGGATCCTGTGGGGCTTGAGCATACCCATATCCTTCATAGCTTTGTCCATAACCATAGTAGTTTCCATTCCACTGATTAGTTTCCTGCTGCTGAGACTGTAAGAGTCCACAAATATAATCCTATAATTGACAGTAACTAGAGAGTTTTAAGTATAAAATAGCATCAAAAACACATTTAACCTGCTTGCTTGAAGGACTACGACCCCATGAAAGCCGCATCTTTTGCCCGCCAAGCTGAGTTCCCTGCAGCATCAGTAGTGCCTCCTCTGAACAAGCCCTGCAGAGCACGCATAAAATATAAAAACTCATCTATCATCATGAAATATAACTGCAGTGACTTCCAAACTCTGACCTGCTAACAAACTGGACAAAGCCACAACGCTTTCCAACAGGTATCTTCACATGAGCCAGTTCCCCATATGGGCTAAAAACCTGCCGCAGCATATCTTCCGTAGCATTAGGATCCAGGCCACCAACAAAAATCTGAAGTCAATGAGGTATTTGTCAGTAAATAATGGAATCACAGCTTGACAGTGGAGAGAACCAGAATAATTGAATACACACTGTAGTGTTGTTTGGGTCACTTTCTGATTGGTTTCCCTGCGAGCTTTGGAATGAAGCTGCAAATAATAAAAATGATCAGAATTGTAAAAGCATGACAAACATATTTGTTAGAGGTTCCTCAAGCTAATATTTACATTTAGCCAAAAATATCAAGACAACGAGCGCTACAATGTTTTGATATTCAGCAATAGAAACTGCGTGTGCTCAGAAAAAATAATTTACATGCCAGCTGCATTATTATTCAATAAATCAAAATTGTTTGAGCATGATCACCCCGCTTTAGAAACATAGAAAGGGAGAGAAATCATGATAACAGTTTTATTAATTAGAAGAAACAACACCAATGTAAACCGAAGGACGCCAATGCTAAAATGTTTTAAAAGTTGTATTCAAATTTCTTAATATCGTTAATAATAATAAAATATTTCATCACCATGTTAGTAAAAAAGAAGTTAAGGAGGCTTTAAACAAAACCTAGGGTGGAAAGTCTGTAGGATATGATGATATCCCAATTGAAGTGTGGAAATATATAAGAGATTTGAGAGTCTTAACTAAATAAACTCTTTAATATTATTTTAAAAACTAAAAAGATGTCTGAGGAGTGGAGGAAAAGAATTTTGGTCCCCATTTTTAAGAATAAAGATGATTAACAAGAGTGTGCAAATTATAGAGGAATTAA